ACTGGTGAAATTTGTAGGTGAACATTTCCATGACTTCAAACCGAAAGCTCCTACATGACGTAATATGTCGAACTGCAAGGACGTGCGAAAATTTCTTAGGCTAATGAGAACTATATTTAGACGTCCAAGGTCCGTCTAATTACCAACTGATCGTCTGCGGGCACCATACGAACATGATATTGTATTCAGCCCCCAGATGCTGTCATGTGCGAACTGAAACTCAATACGTGGATTACTCCTAACGTCATTAACAAAACTCGCTTTGAAACGGTATTTCAATTGGAACGTATATGAACACTTTCCTAGCACAAAAATTATATAGGCAAATGCTTCGGAATTTATGTAATTTTAACATAAAGTTTCTTTTTTTTTAATTCGCTTAGTGGTGGGTGAAGTCCAGTTGGGTCCACTCGGCACGGCGGCCACTGATTGGCCTGTTGTACCTGCCCCCGGTGATTATGATGATGGAGAATTTGGTGGAATGAAGATTGGCAAGGGAAACCGAAGTACTCGGAGAAAACCTACCCCAGCGCCACTTTGTCCACCACAAATCCCACTTGACCAGACCCGGGATCGAACCCGGGCCGCCGCTGTGGGAAGCCAGCGACTTACCGCTTGAGCTATGGCGCGGCCTTAAAGCTTCTTAATAAAATGCGATTTTACATGACAAGCTCGAGCTAATCACATGACCTAATTCAGAAAATACATTTTGGTTGATATCAGTCTTAACCGAATAACTGCATGGGGCAGAGTCAATTTTGAGAAGAAAATATTGTCGATCAGATAGTCATAAACCTCCAAAAGGTGAACCTTGTCGTGGTGGTGGGGCTTGCGTGACTCTGTGACCTGGAGAGCTATGTCGGCGGTAGTTTAACTACCGGTAGGGTCACCCATGCCGGAAAGGTCAAAGGGTAGAGTCCAGAGATACCCAGGTCCTCCAGGTTGGGGGTTGGGCATGAGGCTAACAATCTCATCCTGTAAAAAGAATTTTGTTCAGAAACCTAACAACCAGCCTCGGGTCATACTGCGTGGGTCCATTCCTATGGTAGCACGGATTGATTGTGGAGACTGGTTGTAGAGGAGGCCAAGGCTCACCCAGGGCTGTGGTAGGTAGGTAGGTAGGTAGGCAGGTAGGTAGTTAGATAGCCATGCAATTCGCTGTCATTTATGAACATTCGAACTCCGTGGCTTTATTCCGCAAGAGAACTATACCGACCGAGCGACCGCCGCTTGTCAGCGAAGTTAGTGCCATGACCCAAATGTTAATTATGCGGGAGACTTTACGGCGGTGCGTGGAGTGCAAAGTTGCATCAGTTTACATTCCGTCGCATCCCACAAATTTTCGTTTACTTGTTCAAAAAAGCTTGCCGTTGATCCCTATTCTGGGCAAGATTGATCCAGTTCTCACCCTCACGCCTTAAGATCCATTTTAATATTCTTCTCCAGTATACATGTAGAGACACTATGCTACAAGCTGGAAGGACGCGGGTTTGATTCCAAATGAGGTCATTGCATTTTTAAATTGATCTAATCCTTCCTTCCGCACTATGGCCCTGAGGTCGACTCAGAGTCTAACATAAATGAGTACCAGGAATCCTTTGGGGGGTTAAGGGCGGCCGGCGCGTAAGGCTGACGTATTCACTGCCATCTGTGAGCCGATTGTCTAGAAAATGTGGGAGCCTCGACGTCTCACATCCCTATGGGCTTCCACGGCCTATTACAGGGATAGCTTTACCTTTTTTGTACGTCTAGGTCTTCCAGGTACGCAGTTTCTTGCCATGCGTTTCTCGTGCAGCCCATGAATGCGCCTTGATATGATCATGCTAATGATGTGTGAAGACCTGTAGATTGTGAAGCTCCTCATAATGAAGTGTTCTCCCTCCTCTTACTCCATTTCCCTTAGGGACAGTTATTCTCCTCCTCAACTATTTCTCTATCTCCATGACTTCAGTACGGAAGCGAACTATACCGACCGAGCGACCGCCGCTTGTCGGTGAGGTTAGTGCCAACTTTAGCGGATAGAGGCTGTCGCGTGGTCAGCGCAACGAATCCCCAAGGCGTTTAATTTCGGTTTTCTAGACCGGAGCCGCTATTTCCTTGAACTAGCTCCTCAGTTATTATCACGAGGCTGAGTGGACCCCCTTACAGATCCATTACTCTTACTTGTCAGAAAATCTGGTGGGGCCGGGAATCGAACCCGGGACCTATGGATCTGTAGCCAGGAACTCTGACCACTAGAGCACAGAGGCGGCCCCTTATCCAAGCTGTATTCTCCCCTCAAGATAGCAGACATAGTTCCGCACTCGTGCAAAACAGCAGTAAAATTAAAATCCTGTGCATTTTAATCTTTACGATTTCTGTTGGGAGACGCGTGGAACCAGGATAGCACAGTCGGTACAGGAACTGACTACGGTCTGGTCAACTGAAGGGTCGGAGTTCGAGTCCCGGTAGTGTTAAAAATTGTATCATCCTGATGATAAGCTTGTAAGGTCGACACATACCGTAGCAGTAACAGTCATAAAGAAAGTAAGAACGCAGCATAACAAGAGTCTATGAGCACGACTAGAAGTGGCACCTGCAAGTCTGCCCCTGGAAACTAAATTATAAATATAGGATGCCGTAAGTAACGCAAATTAAATTAAATTATTCATATATTCACTCGCATATTCCGACTGTGACCATGATGTAGATAAAATAGTTAAGCTAAATGTCATTAAATCTCTTAGTCTGTCCGTCTGTCTTTGCGCATGAAGTATTGCAAGGACAGCGTGACGGATTTTCATGTGATTTGTAGCTGGGAAAATTTACTGAAATTTGTCGTATATAAAAATTTCACACGAAATAACGGTTACTTTACACCAAGACCTACTACCCTTTCTGCTTGGATTTCGATTCTAAATCACTAAATATTTATTTGAGCGGAAAATATTTTGAAGAAACGATGTAAGGGGGAAAGGAACGAATTTCTTGTGTCTGAAACAGGTTTTCCGACATAATTAAGGTAATTTTAATTTTTAAGATATGGAGGCCATAACACAAAAGACGCTTGAGAATTATGTGCAAACATTTCTTAAGTTGTTAAAATTAATATGAGGTTGCAAATCTTCGGACATGTTAGATTTAGAAACACTGTGTTAGAAATTTTCGCGAGAATAAAAAAAAACTCGCACATTGACGGGTTTTAGTGGACAGCACATGTACTTACACGTAGTTCTTCACTGATGTCATGAGACATAGAGTTTAATTTGCTATATTATTCTGAAATATCTTTAAACAGAAATGAGACTTTAATAGGAAGTCCTTTTACACCAGGTAAGCAGGATGCATATTATTCTGCTTTCCCCCATTTGGTAACAGATAAATTAGTGAAATACTAAACTTAACCATTCCGTTGTGTTACGTGTACTGAAAAGTGAAGGTATATTTCAATCACACATGTAAACAAAAATAATATTATTAAAAAAACAAGAATCATAAATTTACTTCTCAATTTTTGATAAGAGTTCATTTTTTCGGTATATTGTGTGTGTTATAACAGGAATCAATATACCATCTAAGAACATCTTAATGTTAATTACTTGTTAAAATCCTGACATACTTGGTCATGAAGGATCATTTTTATGGTATGTACTATATTAAAGTGAAATTTTACAATTCATATATATATATATATATAAAATATCTATATCATAAATTTCCTGTAAGAACTTAAACTGATATTATCATATTGTATAATGGCATTATGCTAAAATGTGTAAATAAAGCTTAGTTGCTCTAGTTCAGTTCATTGTGATGTGTCGTGTTGTGTTGTGTTGTGTGTTTCTGTCTCGTGCTTCTTATATATAACGCAAATATGTTTGGTTCTAAATGAAATGGTTTTTCTCTGTTACTTTGTGATCGAATATATAAGTAGGTCTCTTATTAACAAAATATTAATTAAGTTATCTAATTATTTACACATAAGGCGGAGTTCAAAAAGCAATCCACTTAAGGGAATAAAAGGGCCGTGCCATAGCTCAAGCGGTTAGTCGCTGGCTTCTCACCGTGGCGGCCCGGGTTCGATCCCGGGTCTGGTCAAGTGGGATTTGTGGTGGACAAAGTGGCGCTGGGGCAGTTTGTCTCGGAGAACTTCCGTTTCCCTGCCGCTCTTCATTCCACCAATTGCTCCACAATCACCGTCACCTGTCATCTGGGACTGGTGCAATAGGCCAGAAGTGGCCGCAGTCAAGTGACTTAGTCCCACCCAACTGGCAATAAGAAAATAAGAGAATAAAGCAAATACACTTCGGTTGTTATTCGCATCTTTTTCGTGCTTTTCATTGTTATTTAAAATAATATGGCATAAATACAGCATTTGTTTGTTACATCTTTATGTAGTCACCATTAAATCTCATTTTTCTATTTTACTCTAAGTATTTGATAAGTAATTTAAATATCTCCAGTTATTAAAACAGTGGTGTTATATTATTTTTACAATTTATATGTAAAATAAATATTAAAACGTCTATGTATAACACAGTCCGTCAATAATGTAACAAATTGTTCCTTTCTCTTCCACCTACTCTTCTAATACAACATGTTTCGGCCTTAGATGGCCATCTTCAGGTGTTTTAAAATATTAAAATTGCTATATTAAAATATCTGAGGATGGTCATCTAAGGCCGAAACATGTTGCATTAAAGTATAAATGGAAAAAAGTAACAATTGGCGGGCTGTGTTATACATAGATGCTTTAATTTGGCTTGCAACAGAATGCAAATACAGAATTATGAAACAAGTAATTTTTCTGTAAATTAAAAGCCTTTCTTGTTGTCAGTCTGTCTTCATATATTTGAAACAGATTCCTTAACCTTCTCGTAGATCTAAATACGCATTGTCGTTTAGTACAATTAATAAATTTATGAAAGTACTTTCAAGGAATTGTAAACGCGTTTCACTGCTGAAACTAGGAAACGATGTAACATAATTAGAAAGAAAGTGCGTGAAAGCGATTCGCTTACCTGTGATGCGGGCTGGTGTGGAATTCAGGCGGGAGATTTCAAAGTGACGTGACGTGTGCGCCGTGTATCGATGTGTGTGCGAGCTAAAGTCTGAATATGAGGAGACTTCAGGAGGCTTTGGAACTGACAGATACAGCGCGACGCTCTTTATAGTTGAGAGGCGTCGGCGTCGCCGTATCTGTTAGATGCTGGGCTCTGGCAAAGGGGGAGAGGGACGCTTGAAATGGCAGGGGGTGGGCGTGTGGAGAGGTTCGACTCATGTCGCAAAAATATGAATCTTCCTATTGGTTCATATTTTGCAGTATATTTTCTCAGTTACATACTTTGATACATCCTATTGGCTGAGGTACTGGTAGGAGGTTGTGCTGAAATTTATGTGTGTTTGTGAAATGTTCTTGGGACGGCATCCACGTGTGAGTCGAATTGCATGGTTTCCCAGGCGTCCCATATGGGACGAATTCTTCAGAGAACTCACTGCAGGATAATGTGTATTTACTCAAATTTGCTAAAATTACGACACTTGCAATTTCTACAGGCCTGACACTTCGTAAGTACTCATATTGATTTATTCTTACGTTACTTGACCACTTAACATAGCTTACGAGTATGTAGAATCTATCGCGAGTGATGACATATAAATAATGCAGAAGAAAGCGGTCATGATTTAATATGAGGTACTATGAGTCAATTTGGTGCCCTTTTTTTAGCCAATACAGTTAGACGCCTGTTTCTTACCGGGGAGGCTCGGTTTCAATCATTAGAAAATTCTTCTGAAACCCATGATAGTGAAGTGGCAGTGGAGCAAGTTTTTCTCCGAATTTCTTTGGTTTTCCCCCGCTAATCATCATTCCACCATTGCTCCATACTCATCATTGCCCCCTGAGGCATGCAGTCACCCTGACCAAGCGTTACATTATCACATCCTCCGTTTCTAAGCTTGTCTCTTCAGTTCCAACCTACACTCGGATGGTTACAGAATAAAACCAGGATATATCTCAGGACAGCCGGTCTCTTTGCCGAGATTCGAACTCGGGAATGCCAAAATATGATGCAGGATTGCTAATGACTCCATCACGAGACAGGAGTAGTTAATTCCATGGAACTCCATCTTGAGTGCATTATATTTCTATACGCCGCCAGAGTTTATTACTTGATACAGGTGCTCGCTTATTTGCGTCCCACACAACGACGTTTCTTCCCACGCTTTGTTTGGCAAGTACAATTTTGAATTTCCCTTTTTATGGTAAAGCAGTCGAAAGCTTTGATCTACTATAATCAAGAGTAGTTATTTCTTCGTGTCAGGAATAATATGCTGTCCTATTTTGAAAAAAGTACAACCCATCTCAAATTAAAACGATTCTCCTCGATAATAGAGACGGTATCATGTATACATTTGTTGTTTCGTATTAAGTTATATATGTTGTATCCTGTTAACTAAAGAACTGTCTTATATCAGTTGAACAATAGAGGATATTTAGTTAATAGGCTTATAGTAACTTTACAAATTGATGGATGAGGGACTGATATATGATTTTTGGACACACACAATTAAACAGACGCTGACTCGAATATTAACCCACAAACACCCACCCGATGTGTAATGTACAATCCGAAAATGTTCGATAACCTGCGATACTAATGAGTTTCCTTACGTCAACGCTCTTCTTGCTTTAAATAGAAATGCAGGTCTTGTTTATATAAATTAATTATTATTTACAGTCCTTGATGTTAAAGTTAATTGTCGTCTATTCTTTTTTTTTAGTAATTTAAATATGATTTACCGCCGAATTGATTGTATTCTCCCGACGACAAAATAAATAATTTAATATCTGATGCTCTCACAACGGCGATAGTGAAAATCACTGCCTTACCGACATCGTGTAGATCGTTACTGTGATTTCTGAGAAATTTGTTGTTTCCATCTTCCTCCAAACGTTGTAACGTTCTACCAGACAACAAGGCGTCACATACAAAAGACAATACTCTTCAACGTAAAACTAGATCTTTCAGTTTCGTTTCTCTTCGAAGCGCAGGACTGCTGAGGAGATAATCAAAAGGGGAAGCACAGCAGATCACTGTAGGTCGCGGTGCAAGGGCCGAGAAGGCCTATCGTTCACACATTCATTCATTCATTCATTCACTCGTTTCTCTTTTTGTCATTTTCAAATTACTCCCTTTTAATTATTCCACTGATTAATCAAGATTGCATGGTTAATTCGACTAGGACCCGGGATTGCTCAGTCGGTATAGCTACGGGCTACCGTTTAGACTTTTCTCCACAGTGTCCAGACCGGCTCTGGGGACCACCCAACCTCTTATCCAATGGGTAACGAGAGCTCTTTTCTGGGTGTAAACAGTCTAAGGCGTTAAGCTAGCCACTCACCTTCATCTAGTGCCGAAGTCAAGAACGGTGGAGCTATACTTCCAGTCCCTCATACTTCTTCATGGCATGGTACTTAATTGTCCAGCAATAACTTTACATTTTACATTATAGTATAATAAAAGTAGCAATATAAATAAGTTGTGAATTATTATTATTATTAATGTTCTTTTAAATTCGACAACATTCTTGGTTAGAAAATGAAGTAGTGTAGTGAGAATAACTCTTAAGCGGACACCACAGAAAACGCTGTCCAACCTCCCGCTATTACCCTGTAGTCTGCTTGACGTCCACACGGTTTAGAAAGCAGTGACGCCCTACTCAAACTAAACGTGCCGAAACCTGCTGGGGCGACCAGTGTCTCAGAGATCGCCTCCATTTCCAACATCAGGGTCAGTTGGGTGAATAACCAGTCTTACCATTCTTAACACCAACTCCAATAGGACTGCTAGTTGCTCATCTAGATTGTTTTGTTTTTGAGCCATCGTGTCGGTTAGATACAAGCTTTTATTCTTTTGTGTAATAAATACCGTTACATGTACTCCTCTCCAAGTATAATTAGAACGATCAATTCAAGGAGGATGAAGTGGGCAGGGCATGTAGCACGAATGGTGGAGAAGAGGAATGCATATAGGATATTGTTGGGAAAGCCAGAAGGAAAGAGGCCACTGGGAAGACCAAGACGTAGGTGGGTGGACAATATTAAAATTATCTTGGAGAGATATGATGGGATGATGTGGATTGGATTGGGATGGCTCAGGATAGGGACAAGTGGAGGGCTCTTGTGAACACGGTAATGAGCCTTCGGGTTCCATAAAATATTTGGAAATTCTTTAGTAGCTGCACAATTGGCGGCTTCTCGAGAAGGGCTCAACTCCATAAGTAAGTAAGTAACTAAGTAATTAGGACGTTGAAATGAGTTATAGGGAGATAATTTCTTAATATGGCTATTATTTCCTTGACATAACACACAGCTTCTATCTGTTGAAACAGCAGCCACAGTCATTAACAGCAGTTGTACGTACGGTAAAGTATTAAATATCTTCACTAGTTTGACTTAATTCATTCAACAGTGAGAGGCCTGTTAAAATTGTGAATGGAATTTGCATATGGTCGCCATGTTGACTGTCTGCACTACACGAGACGACAGGTGTCAAAGTCAAGCTCTCCTCACTCATAATTATAAAAGGTTATAATCTTAGTATCGACTTTGGCCGCGCCATAGCTCAAGCGGTTAGTCGCTGGCTTCCCACCGCGGCGGTCCGGATTCGATCTCGGGTCCGGTCAAGTGGGATTTGTGGTGGACAAAATGGCGTTGGGGCAGGTTTTCTCCGAGTACTTCGGTTTCCCTGCCAATCTTCATTCCACCAATTACGCCACAATCACCCTCACCTATCATCTGGGGCTGGTACAATAGGCCAGAAGTGGCCGCAGTACAAGGGACTTAGTCCCACCCCACTAGCATTAAAAAAAATATTATCGATTTATTCATTTTTATGACCATCGACATAACCTTAATGTGTACTTAATATTTACTGACAACCGCTATATGCTTCGGCATTTTCATCAAAATCTCTGATTACTGAACTGTCGTAACTTTACCGTATTTGAATACGTATCCAGTTTTAACAGTAAATTTACACTACATTTGGAAGTATAATTCTTGACATGTATACTGTGCAGTATATTAATAGTATTAATAGTTTTTCCAAAAAAATAAAAGTCCCTATCCACAAAAATTACTGATACCATTGTACAACATACCATATGTCAAGCGTGTACAGCCGTTGCTATGCAATGACCGAGAAGTAGGCGAATAAACAACGGTGTTATGCAAACCGTTTCTAGACAATAGATAGGTAAACACGTTCTTATGGCAACGAATACTCAGGCAACGATGGAATTACTTTTGGAGGCGGTGTTTTCTACAGTGTCCGTGCAAAGGTGTTATAAGGAAGACAATTGAGGTGACCCGGTTGGTTGAGTCAGTTGAGTTCTGCAAGGTAGACTGGGAAGATACGGCGCGTGAGCACAGAAGCTGAAGAATTTCCATTGCTGTGAGCTGTTACCAAGCAACGACTAGTGAAGGCAATGCAGGTTGAGAAGACTTAACGTATAGTGATTTGTGAATTTTGGAGATCAGCGATGACGCTATAATTACTTGTATTAACGAGTCGTGTGTATGAGTGGTCAATAAATTCATTTACCAATTGATACCCAGTCTGTAGTCACCTAAATCATGAGCATGTATATAATGTTCACTTACTGACAAAAAATTGTTCCCTATTTTAATTAATTAAATTAATTAATTGATTTAACATTTAGTTCATAGCAATTCGTGAATTAAAGATTCTGCTGTTTTACCACCTCAGGATAACCGAAAGACCGTAACGTGCAGTGCTTGCTGATAAACGTGTCCGTTGGCATTGCGACTTGAAAGGCTTCTGACGGTGGTGTAGCAGTACAGAACTGTAAGGTTTCCTATTTTGGGCTCTACCCATCGTCTGGTATATATAAGACAAAAACCACAACGTTTCGGAGACAGGATCTGTCTCCGTCCTCAGGTGGATGGGGCAAGATAGACCTACTCAGTTGGGCCCGTTAGAAGAAGCTAGTCTCAATCATTGGACCAATCTCCGAAACGTTGTGATTTTTGTCATATATACCAGACGATGGATAGAGTCCAAAATAAGAAACCTTACAGTTCAGTATTACGATGTAAATTGACAACATTTAAAAAGATAAAAATAT